TTATTCTAGCCAAAATAAAACAAATAAGACTTTCTCCAGAAGAAAAAATATTATCAGACATACTGTGAAAATTTCCTTGCTCTGTTAAAAAAAAAAAATCAAACGGGGCTAATAATTATGACTTCAACTTTAGTTTCTTTTGCAAATACTCCTTTTTTTAGTATGAGTGGAAAGTAGTTCCTCTAAAAGTACTCAAGAGTAGTAAGGAGTGAGAAATGTACTCCACCTTATATCCTGCAAATTAAAAATTTAGCTTACACCTGTGCCATTTTTTAGGGTATTTTTAATGCAAGTTCATCTACGTATTTGCCATTCATGAACTATACATTTAAAATGTAGGATTAATTTTATGTGGGAACACATAAGTTATATGCACCTACAATAAGCCAACAAAAAAAAATGTTTATGCGTTTACATGTGAATTCGAAATCTGTGTAAACTAATATACTAAAAAGTGACATGTTAATGTTAATTACTTTAAAACTTGACTAGCAAGCTGCAAGCATCCAGCAATTGGTGCAGCAAACCAATTCACCACTAAGAGAATACATGCAGTTTGTGCATGTGTTTAAAAACGTAACATTCTGTAGTGCATTGAGTCATTGTTTAAGGTCATTTGCAGATTTAAGTCATCGTAAAGCAGACATACTTCATCTTCCCACCAGTGACATGCAGTAGTTTAAACCATACCTCGGCTGCTACATGTAATGATTTTGCATCTTCTTGGACAGTTTTAGTGCTTCCACACTAAAGTTTGTGTCTTGAGGTCAATCTGTCAAAATATATATATATATATATATATATATATATATATATATATATATATATATATATATATATATATATATATATGTGTGTGTGTTTGTATATATATATATATATATATATATATATATATATATATATATATATATATATATATATATATATATATATATGTATATGTGTGTGTGTGTGTGCAATTTGATTGGATAGAAATAACAGCACTTATTCTTTGCTATGAATTATATGATTATTGTGAACAGCTATGGCAGTAATCAGCTGACTGTGGCTGGAGAAATTAAGGGGAATGAGTATGGGGGCAAGCACTTTTTCTCATCACTATACAGTTTGTATGCTATCGTAAATAAAAACATTTATACATTCATGCACACCGAAAATCAGAGATGCATGTGGTACATTAGGCACACTCAGTTCATTATTAAGAAACAGGTATGTACAGTACAGTTATGTTAATTCCAGAGATACTGTACTATACTATGACACACATATGTCTCCTGATAACAGAGTTACCTGCTGTCACAACAATCTCTACTCACTCTGAGATAAGCTTCAGCTCTCAGTAAACCTTTCTTCTTCTCTGCTGTAGTTCAGAAGTTCAGCTAGTGTTATCTCCATGGGAATGTTTCCTTTTCATTGAGTTTCCTATTCAAGTGCTTTCGGAGAGAGAGAGAGAAAGAGAGAGAGAGAGAGAGGGAGAGGGAGAGGGAGAGATCACTGACCCATGTGGTGCACAGCAAAAAAAAAAAAAAAAAAAAGAGAGCTTTTCTTATTTTTAAGTCCAAATTTCTAAAAAAAAATGGGAACTTTAGAACTTATATTAGCTCCTCCCCTTCAAAAATTGGCCAATAGCATTTGGTTTTTATCACAGCTCTGACAGTGAGAGTGTTTGATCAAGCGCATGTAAAATGAAAAGCAAATGAGAAGCATCTTGAAAGGGGCGGGACATGTCAGATACTAGAGAGCATTTGATTGGTCAGATTTGATGAGAAGCTGAAATATGTGATAGGTGATATAAAAAAAAATGTCGATCCATTTATGGGGCGTTCACACTGGATGTGCCTTGCACAAGTAAATTGCGCTAATCGTGCATAATTAGGCGCTTGAAGATTTTGAGTTTGCTTGCTTCATTTGTGCGTTAAACTCAGTTTAACAGACTTGAAATCACTCCCATTTCATTGCAAAACAGCTGACATGGATTTTCATGAGAGGTAGCTGTGCTTTGTGGGATTTGAAAGGAATTGTGGGTCAGCTCCGTTTCTGGGTCCATCAGATCCTTCAGAAGCATCTTGACTAGATGACTGCTGCTACAGAAGCAAGCTCCTGATTGGATGATGACCACTACTAAAGCAAGCTCCTGATTGAAAGACTGCTGCTATCAAAGAAAGCTCCTGACTGGATGACAGTGTTAATAGAGCAAGCTCCTGATTGGATGACAACCGCTACTAAAGCAATCTCCTGATTGGATGACGACTGCTACAAGAGCAAGCTCCTGATTGGATGACGATCACTGCTAGAGCAAGCTCCTGACTGGATGATGAACACTACTAAAGCAAGCTCCTGATTGGATTATAAACGTTACTAAAGCAAGCTCCTGATTGGATGACGAATGCTACTAAAGCAATCTCCTGATTGGATGACGATCGCTACTAGAGCAAGCTCCTGACTGGATGACGAACGCTACTAAAGCAAGCTCCTGATTGGATTATAAACGTTACTAAAGCAAGCTCCTGATTGGATGACGAATGCTACTAAAGCAAGCTCCTGATTGGATGACGAATGCTACTAAAGCAAGCTCCTGATTGGATGACGAATGCTACTAAAGCAATCTCCTGATTGGATGACGAATGCTACTAAAGCAATCTCCTGATTGGATGACGATCGCTACTAGAGCTATTTCCTGATTGGATGACGATCGCTACTAGAGCAAGCTCCTGACTGGATGACGAACGCTACTAAAGCAAGCT